CTTCATAGAAAACAAAAATTTCCCTTTGGAAATCACAGGACCAAAACATGGAGGGAGCAGAAAGAAGACAAGGGGAGGAGAAGGGGATACAAAATGAATTAAGGTGTGTTATGCACATGCACCAACCCCTGTGGTGTACTGCATATCACCATGGTATACCGCAAACACAGACTAATTAAAAAAGAGGGAATGAAATGGTGTTGGAAAAACTGGATTTCAACCTACCAAAGATTAAAACTAGACCCCTATCTTTCACCACGCACTGAACTAAAATCCAAGTGGATTAAAGATCTAAATATTAAAATAGAAACTTTAAACTTGCTGGAAGATAAGTTAGGTAGAATTCTCAAAGACATTGGCATAGGAAAAGACTTTATGAACAAATCCTCAGTAGCAGAGGAACTAGCGTGGGAACTAGGTGTGCAGAGACAACAACTGGGATCTCATCTTATTAAAAAGCTTCAGCACTGCAAAAGAAACCATCAACAGAGCCAAGAGACAACCTACAATGTGGGAAACAATATTTTACCAGCTGTTCCTCAGACAAAGGTCTACTATCTAGAATATATAAAGAACTCAAAAAAGTCAGACCTCCCCCCAAATATAAAGACCCTATTCAAAAATGGGCATCTGAAATGAACAGACATTTCTTGGACAAAGAAGTAAAAGCAGCAAATAAATATATGAAAAAATGTGCAACATCTTGGTCATTTGAGAGATGCAGATGAAAACAACACTGAGATTCCCCCTCACCCCAGAAAGAATGGCTGCTGTCAATAAATCAACCAATAACAAATGCTGGTGGAGTTGTGGGGAGAAAGGAACCCTCCTCCATTGTTGGTGGGAGTGCAGACTGGTACAACCACTGTGGAAATCAATATGGAGATACCTCAAAGAACTAGGATTAGAGGTTCCATTTGACCCAGGCATCCCTTTGCTGGGTATCTATCCAAAAGAATTAAAAGAATCATACCACAGTGATATATGCACACCCATGTTTATAGCGGCACAGTTTGTAATAGCTAAAACTTGGAAACGGCCCATTTGCCCATCAGTTGGAAACTGGATAAGAAGATGTGGTTTTTCTATAAAATGGAATAATAGTCAACCATAAAGAATGAGAAATTAGAGTCATTCATAGGAAAATGGATGAATATTGTGGTTATACTCTGAAGTGAAATAAATAAGACACGTGTAAATACTGAATAGTTTCTCTGGGGTGAAAAACTAAAAGTGTAAATAAGATCCAAATTGTATAACTTATAATGTGAAATAGAAGAAAAGGGCTAAAGGTATAGGGGAAGTGGGAAGGGTAGGGCAAAGGAAAGAAGGGAAAGGAAAAATACAAGAAAAGAAAAAAATGGAAACAAAGTCTTTGTAAATAGGGGAGGGTGGAGGGGG